CAAATGATTACACGTTTAAGCTCACGAAAGACAAGAGATTGAATCGGAGTATGCTCAGACTTTGGACTTGTTGATTCTTGATTTCGTTCTCTACCTTCTGCTCCTCGTTGATCTCATTTTATACTCCTCCACTTCCAAACTAGCCGTTGGACAGTCTTCAGAGGATTATCTTTCAATATTCACCTTTGGACAGATTTGTATAAAATGGATTGAATAGCCGTTGGTTGATAAAATCTGAATCCCGCTGATTCTGGTCGCCCATACAATCAGAATCTTGGTTTCCATAAGTAGAGCTTTATCCGTTGTAATGCATACTTGTCATAGTATTTGATTGTCAATCAATTATAGCCTTAGATTGAAATAATCAAAACTTTCCTTCTGTGAAATCCATACCAGATCACTAGCTGTTATGTTTCGTTCTGAATTCTGCGTCTGAAGAAATTCTGCATCTGCGTTTGCGTCTGAATAACTTCTGCGTCTGCATCTCAGAACTTAGATTAGTGTGGGTCTTCGGTAAAGTCTGAACTTCTCATTCTGAGTTTGAACTTTCTCGTTCTGAGTCTGAACTTCTCTTTTGCTTGAAGTTCTTTCACAATCTGAACACGAACTAGATCAAGATTGACATATGCTTTTCTTCCAAAAATAACTTCCTGAATCAAAATACTTCAAAGCATTTATCAGACTTACAAAACACTCATGGACAGTTTTGTCAACTTCAAAATCTATTGGGAATTTTCCTTAACACTTACTTCAAGCCATACAAGCTTTTTTTCAAGCGACATACCATGTGCTCCTTACCTTTGACCTCAAAACCTTTAGGTTGTGCCATATATAATTCTTCATCTAAGTTATCATGCAAAAAGGCCGTTTTCACATCCAATCGTTATCATTCACCTTTGCGAATTTGAAAAGTATATTGCTTCGACTCTTTCGCCACTTTTGTGAAGCTTCAACGAGATAAATGAGAAGGAGCTCTTGCTGCTTTTGTGGACCTTTGACGTGAACTAGAGAGCTATGAAGGAGAAGGAGTTTTGACTCTTTCGTTATTTTCGTGGAACTTTCACATGAGCCAGAGAATTTTGGAGGATTCGCAAAACTTCAACATTGAAGCAGAGATGCGGAAGAGAAGGAGACGGAGAGGGCATGGTTTTTTCGAAATCTCATTGCCTCTCATTCTTAGAGAATTAGAAAGATCCTTTTTTAGTTTGAATCAATCATTTAAAATCTAGATTCTTCTACATCATTTTTTATTTACTTTGTTTTATTATTTTTCCCTCTCTTTATATATTTATTTTCTTTTTTATTCCCTTACATTGTTCCTTAATAAAAATTTTATTATATAATAAACTATACGAATATACCTAAGATATGCAATATAAATACTAAATATATACAATATATATTACATAATAGAAAGAAATCAAATAAATTAATAATAATAGGAATTAATAAAAAGAAAATTGTTTTTCTTTGTTATATTGAATTTTCTGTTTTATATTGCAATTCAAATATTAATTATATTTAACTATTACTTTAATTAATTAATTTAGGAAGTTTGTTATTCGAGTAAAATAAATTGTATATCTTGAATTAAAGAAATCCTATCCACCTTTAGCCCACTTTCTTTAAGAGATATTTTTTTTATTCAGGTTATATTACGGTTAAATATAATCTTATCCTATCTTGGGCGGAAACTAAGCACAGGATATCCTGACTTTTATCCTAGCTACCACCAACCGTAACCTAAAGACATTGCCTCTCATTATATCGTGGGTCAATATTCTATTACGTGTTGTTAAGAATACGAATTTTATTATTTTCTTTAGATGTGATTGATATCATTCATATGCTTAGATCAACAACGACATCAGGTGGTATTTACTGCCTACTGCACAACAAAGGTACAAATACCATAAAGCCACATAGAAAGCAGTACGGCATGACCCTAGTTAAGAAAACCAAACTAAAGATTAGGTTGCTTGACATCAAATATATATGCCAAGCTTTTTGCTGTTGATTTTTGCTTTCACTTGTCCCCCCAAAGTAAAAGAGAAAGCAAATGCCCAAGATACGATTACGTAATGATCGCCCTTTCTTAAGTCTCAAGTTGAAAGATTAACCAAATGAAGAATTGTCTCCTCCTATTTAAAAATCAATCGAAGCGATAAATATGAGGTTACTTTAATTGGTAAAAGTACGAGAAGAGGTGATTAGCGCAATTACCCCTCTTTGCATTATCATAAGGATCCTAAGCCAGTTATGCAATTTTCAATTTAAACTATAACTACTCAGTTCACCTATAGATACACAAGCTTGTCGCAGTAGCCCCACTTTTGTGCTAGGTGTCGGGGAATCTCTTCACAGAGGTAGCAAATTGCCTAAGTCACAAGATAGCCAAGGGTTTTGTGACATCCCAAAATCCTATATTGGACGGGAGAAACCCTACGGAGTGATTTGTTAGAAAATATACATCCCCAAGTGGGTACCACCTTACGTAGTTACTCAAAGTACTCCTTTTGCGGGCTTGACCTATTTGGAATGAGTTGGGTGGTCAGATGGTATGAGAGCATGACACCATCCAATCGGTGTATGACTCGTAAGTGGACTAAGCCCATATCCGACTCGACAAGGACGAGAAATGATCATCAGTGTGAGGGCTTGGACAATGTGAAAGAAGGGGCAGATTTGGATTGAACCACTCATCAAATAAGGGGGAGTAACTCTAAACAAACAGATTAGACCGCTAATCCAATACTTAAGAAAATCACGTATAACATAAGAATGAAATAAGATCACGGTTAAATCTTCCTTATCGATTTAGCAAGATCAAAAAAAATTCATGAAATCTACAGTTTCCCGTCATCCATCGTTTAGTCTTTCTGATTAGGGGTCTGATGCAAATTGCACATTTTACAAAGTGAAGATGACTAGTGACATGAGTATCAATGAGTATCAATGTTAGGGGACATTTTCTGAAATCTTCTACATTTTCTATGTCATGGATGTCATCTTTAACCTCTCTCTACTTTTTCTTGCCGAAGAAGTTTGTTATTTTGAATTTGTTAGTCGAAGTATGTTAAAGATAGAATAAGAAAAGAAAGCCCAAATTCCAAGCAAAGGATATGTGCCCTTTCTCCCCAAAAGGATGATTGAGTGGATAGAGAAGGCAAGTAATTTGAGTGATGATTAGCTCCTCTCATTCCTTAATGGATAGCGATTATTAGGTAAATTACAGTTTTGATCAGTGCTTTTCGTTTGGTTCCAATTTTGCTTGTATCTTACGATTGTGATATCAAAGTAAACTTAATTTGAAATCAAAGCAATTTTAAGAGCATATAACCATTTTTTATGAAGCGACCATGTAAATTCGACAGTTTGTCACTAATTTTCTTACGATATTAACCTAACAGACACGTAGTTACACAATAGGGGGGACAAGTGGTCGGTCAATGGAAAACATAAGACTTTTATTTTGGTCAATTGAGGACTATAAAGTTTTAAAAAATCCTTAATCAGGCCTCGACCTCACTGTCGATGCAATTCAGGTGTCGAAAATCCATCGTGGCTCAAACGAGGAACATCTAGTCACGTACCACGTGTCATTTGGGACGCGCAAATTCCATCGATGGCAAACTCAAGATCCGAACGGGGCTTTTTAAGAAAACCGCAAGTTCTCAATTGACTAAGGCCCCGTTTGGTTCAACATTTCCAATGTTCATTTGGGCTCTAAAGGCCCTTGACCAAATGCAAATGGTGTTTGGCAAATTTTTTTACTCACTTTGGGGAGATGCAATTACATTTCCAATGCTCATTTGGCCAAAGCACCTTGAAAGGTCCATTGGGAATGCTCATTTTCGAAATGCAACTGGTACTGTTCACTGGAACTGTTCATCTTCTCCCTGCAGCAGCTCCGGCGGCCGGCGACGGCCGCCTGAGGGCTAGCCCGACCCCGGCGACCACCGCCTAGGGGTCGCGCGACACCGGCGACTGCCACCTGGGGTCGCTGGACCTCGGGAGTCGCCTGGGTCGCTCGACCTCAGGCGACGCCTGAGGTCGCGCGACCCCAGCGACGGCCACTGGGGTCGTGCGACCTCGAGTGTCGCCCGAAGTCGAGCGACCCAGCGGCGGTCGCCGGGTCGCGCGACCCGTGCGACGGCCGCCCGGGTCGCGCTACCTCGGCGGCGTCGCTGGGTCGCTCGACCTTAGGCGACGGCCGCCGAGGTCGCACGACCCAGGCGGCCGTCGCCCGGGTCGAGCGACCCAGCGGCCGTCGCCTGGGTCGAGCGACCCGGCGGCCGCCCCTGGGGTCGCGCGACCTCAGGCGACAATCGCCTGAGGTCGGGCGACGCCAGATCTGGCTCGCCGGCGGCTGTAGCCCTTCGCCGGAACTGTTCATCCAAAGAGTATCTTTTTTAAAAAAAAAAAAAAAAAAAAAACCTCTCAAAGCTCATTTGTAAAAAAATAACCAAACACAATTGCATTTTTTCAAATGGCTTTCAAATGATTTTTTACCAAACGCCATTTGTATTTCCCCAAAGTGACTTTTACCTAAAGGTATTTGCATTCTCCAAATGAGCATTGGAAATGCTGAACCAAACGGGCCCTAACTATCAAAATCTTAAATCATGTTTATGCACTTATCCCACGGTCATCCCATCATACAACTCCCAGAAGGGTCATCTTTAGGTTTTTTGTAAGACAAGCATCGATACAATCACCGCATCATTGGCGGGAAATACTGCCTATGGCGTCGTTCAGATTCGTGGAAACTGATCGAATGTACTCGAATGGTGAAGATGTTGAAGCACACGGCAGGACTTCAGCTTGCCACAGAAGAATTAGAGGGACTGAATTGGATCCCGACGGCGAAAATACAGGGACCGAAAGCGCAATTTACCCATAATTTGGTCCTTCACCACAAAATCCTTTTCAGACACAAAAGTTTGCAGCCACCCCAGCCCTCACAGGCATATATATACTTGACACTTCTCGCTCTCACTCTCACTCTCACTCTTCCTCTATAGCTCTCTTCGTCTGCCTTTCTTACTGGCAAACATGCCGAGTTCATTTTGTTTCGCTCTTCTTCTCCTCTCTTGGCTGACTCTCTCCTGCATTATTACAGGTAAAAGTTCTTGTTTAATCGAATCAGTTGATCATTGGCAGTAGTAGCTTTGATATAGTGTTCATCATTTTTGTTAGCTCCACGATTAATCCAATTTCTGTCGTTCAATAACGCTCTCAGACGCCGCGCAACAACTCATACTGGTAAACAACTGCAACCACACCGTCTGGCCGGCGACTCTTGGCAACACCGGCCACGTGACCCCGCGCGATGGCGGCTTCCGCCTCGACACCGGTGAAGAATCAATCGTGGACATCCCCGAGCTGTGGTCCGGCAGAATCTGGGCGCGGCAGGGCTGCGCCTTCGACGAGCATGGCAAGGGTGCCTGCAGCACGGGCAGCTGCGGCGGAGTCCTCCGCTGCCGTGGCTCAAGCGGCGAGCCACCTGCGACGGTGGTGGAGATGACGCTGGGCACGAGGTTGTCGCCGCTCCACTTCTATGACGTGAGCCTGGTGGACGGGTTCAACCTGCCGGTGTCATTGAGGCCGTTGGGCGGCAGCGGAGGGTGCGGGGTGGCGGCGTGCGATGCGGACCTGAACGGGATGTGCCCGGCAGCGCTGGAGGTGAGGAGGGAGGGGAGGGTGGTGGGGTGCAAGAGCGCGTGCCTGGCAATGGGATCGGCCAAGTATTGCTGCACAGGCAAGTTCGGGAATCCGAGGAGCTGCAAACCGACATTGTTCGCGAATCTGTTCAAGGCGATGTGCCCCAAGGCATATAGTTATGCATTCGACGATGCTAAGAGCTTGAACAGGTGTAGGGCGTCGAGGTACGTCGTCACTTTTTGTCCTCCTCAGTGAAGTGAAGAAGATGAAGATGAAGATGGAGATGGAGATGGAGAAAGAAGAAAGAACCATATGACCGTTTTTCTTCAGGCTTTTTCTTTCTCTCGTCTGTTTGAGTGATCTTTACGCCTTTTTTTTTTTCAAATTTTATGATTTTCGTACTTTCATTTTGTAAAGATAAGCGATGGTCGCGTAGCAATACAGAGTTGGGAGAATGCTTATTGATCTGAGTGGTTTGTTTCGAGCCTAATTCTTATAATTTGATTGTTGTACTGTTCTTTTTTTCATAATTGTGAGGACAAGGAGAATCTAAACATAGACACCGTTGGGTTGCTTTCAATAACATATTCTGTCTCATGGGTCCATGTCACTTCCGGCCACCATGTGCCGCCAGGCGCCACCCACCAGACTTGGCCATTGCCACCGTCGGAGACACCACCATGACTACCTTGACTTGAGGACCACCACTGCAACTTCACCGCCGTGTATCGGCACGCCTGTCTCTGGTTAAAGTAGATCTCATATCCAAGATCATGCATGTGACCTTAAATCCAAGGTGGCACCGTAGGTCTGAGATCTTGTGACCTTAGGTTCGAGGTGGCCCGACCTTCCATCGAAGGTCCGACCATATATCTTGAGGTAGGAAGACTTCGAAATGTACGCGGTGATCTTCATCAATGGTTGAGGAAAGAGGGGTGGAGCGAGATGATTGTTTCCAGCGCGGCGAGGCCAACGATGCTGTGGCCAATGGCAGCGACTGCAACAAGCGTGGCAAGCGATGGCACCAGGAAGTTCATGTCCCCATAAGCTCAATATTAATTAGTTGATTGATTCCATCATTAAGGATAACGAATTCAGGTTCTACTGATCGTCGTGAACTGCACTTATCACAGTGGTTAGGTCATGCCATGTTGAGCATTCAGAATGCATGAAATCTGTAATGTAGAGAAAGATCCAATCCGCTAAACCACAAAAAGAAGCGACAGAGCAAGGTCCAATTCCGTACGCAATTAGCTAAGTCAACTAATTCAGAAACAAATCAAGAGGAGAGTATAAAAAGCAAGTCCGACAGCTTCAGGGAACGAAACATGGGCTCGAGTGCTAATGAAAACCTTAGAAGAGAAGATCATGGACCTGAAGAAGCACGACAGGCCCCTGTATATGGGGCCAACAATGCCAGTGCCCAATGTGCTGGAGATGGTCAGGAAAGACCCTCTTCACGTCCCTCGGAGGTACATCAGCACAGAACAAGACATGGCCTTGGACAAAGCCGACAAAGCTGTGAACCGTTTCTCGTCCGATATCCCAGTGATCGACTTGTCATCGCGCTTGTGCAGGGATGAGCAGGTGCTCAAGGAATTTGATCTTGCTTGCGAGTACTGGGGAATTTTCCAGGTCTTTCTCAGAGAAACTTAGAAAATTTCAGATTCATTCTTTTTCTCTCTATGTTACAAAAGAAAAGTTATATTCTACACGCTATATTAGTGAAGAAATAGGGCAATAGAGAAAAAATACATAAGAATCTACTTACTATTGTATTAATGAACTAAAATGGAATCATCTTGGCTTTGACAATGTCTGTAATAGATGATTTACCCACTATAGATTACAAGCAATTCCTAAATTCTCCTTATATATAATATGTTATGCTGAATGAAGGTAGTGAATCATGGAGTTGCGAAAGAGGTGATGCGGGCGATGAGGGATTGCGCGGCTGAATTATCTGCCGTTAGAAGAGAAGAACCGGTCTGCGATGACTTCGAATGACATACAGGGTTATGCGGCACGCATGCGGTTTCCTAGAAGCAGAAGCTGGACTGGTCAGATATTCTGATCTTCTGCATCTGCCCAAACCAGATTCGGAGGCTCGATTGTTGACCGGCCATGCCCGAAAACTTAAAACACGTACACAATGATATCTACTCGACAAGAAATTGTAGCCGAGACTGATGCAAGACTTTTGTTTCAGAGAAGTAATCGAGGCCTATCCAGCCAGAATTAGAGCAGTCGCGGAGGATCTCCGAGGGTGGCTCTCTCTGATCATGGGAATCGACGGGGACAAGCTCTCCAAACTGCACGGAGAATCAGCACAAGGTCTGCAGATGAATTACTGTCCTTGCAGCGAGCCGCGTAAAGTGCTTGGAGTGAGTCCGCATTCAGACACAGACCACACTCACCATACTAATGCAGGACGATGATATAGAAACCCTCCAGATTTGACATGAGGATCAAGGGGTCACCTTTAAACGAATCCCCTACGCACTTGTCGTGAACGTAGAGGATGTCACCAAGGTATTTATAGAATTCGGACTAAAAGTATCAATTCCATGGCATTTGCTACCGGGTCTTTCCCATTGTTTACTTTAATTTTATGTAAATAAGCTTTGGAATTAGATCATGAGACAGAGTATGCTTTTGTGACCATGGCATGAAAATTTGGGAGAGATGCTGCAGAATTTATCAGCCAATACCACTCAAGAAAGTGTAACCGATGAAGAAGCGCCTGATGTTTTTCCTCATGCTTCAGATTTAAAAGATTGGGAAGTACAAGAGCGTCGAGCATAGAGCCATGACAAATGAGCTCAAACCTAGATTGTCGTTTGCATCTTTCATCCTCTTGCCAGACAACGACATGGAGATCAAACTGCTGGACCATATGGTTGATGCAGAGCGGCCGATTAAGATGTATAAGAAAGGGAAGTATGGAGAGTATCTGCAGCATTCATTGAAGATGAAGCTGGAGGGGAAGGCATACATTGAAAAGGCAAACTTGATAATTGAATGGACACTGTTTTTCCTGATTCCTAAATGTTTGTGTCAATGTGAGTAAGAAAAGAAAACTCTACAGTGTTCAAACTCAACGAGCTACTCATAAAATCAATCTAACTTCCGAAGTTTCGATGCTCGCAGCTTTTATCTTTCAATTACCATGTAATGCAGGATTCTGGGACTAAGCTAAAGAATAGATTAAAGCTGGCGATTTTCTTAACAAAGGCGTAACAGAAACAGCAAGTACAGTGAATCAAGTACTGCAGGGCATTCGGATCCACTTATCTCTTAGTAATGCACAAATGAAGCAATGCACAAACTTAATAACTAGACATGCACGACAGAGCGAGTCTCATATGGCTTAGTGTGCAACCGAAGAAATCATCGAGTCTTATTCAACCGAAACTAAATCATCGAGTCTTATTCAGCCGAAACTAAACGAGTGGCCGATGAGCGAGTCTCATCAGAGTCAGGTCATCATGTCTATACTCAAGAAATGCGACAATGTCGATGACCTCCAGATTCAGCACAACAACAGAATGGGTGCCCGTGAAACTGATATGTTCTCGAGGTACATATGCAGAAAACCCAGAATTCCGTAATGATGGTTGGGTCTCTGGGACAGTGAATAAATGTGAGCAAATGCCTCGTGTGTTCGACAAGTTTGGACAAATGGGAAGCCAGGAACGTGGAGCAGCAAGTAACCGCGACCCGAAATAAGACAGATCACGTCTTTTGCTTCTTTCATCTTCCAACTGGTTAATGCGGAGATCGAGCCACTCCACCATATGGTCGCTGTTAAGGGGCCGATTAAGATGTATAAGGGAGTGAGGTACGGAGAACATTCAGTGCATTCCTTCAATAGGAAGCAGGAGTGAAAGGCACACATTAAGATGGCAACAATTGGTAATGGACCTAGAAACCAATAACGTCTTCTATTCAGGCTAAACAAATGCATCAAGATTGCTGATCCTCAACCATCTTAGTCCTGTTATGTTGTTTGCAACAAGTTGAATCTTGTACCAAAACCTTGACGCAATGCTCAAATAATTCATGTCACTCAGGTAAATCCTTCCACGTGGTAATTTTTTGAGATTCGTGGCAAGGACTCCAAACCCCTGCACTAGATGAAGGGTTCGATGCAAATCTCCATCGAAACAAGAATGCATTTCATCAATCGCAACAAGTCATGAGTGCCACGAGAACAACAGAGGGCACTTCGGGCGATAAGCTAAATGCTTAAAAATTGGCAATTGGACATTCTCAAAAACAGTGGAACCGAAAGGTATGCCAGCCCACCCCCCCCCCCCCCCCCCCCCTTGGCAGATGGGATAAAAACAAGGCCATATGACTCTAGACTGGAGAAAACAAGACCATGATACTGAAACATAATTTGATGCGTGCTCTGCTGCGTATGAACACAATGGGGATTATTGAGGAAGAAGAAACCACAAAAAAGACAGCCCTATATGTTATAATGTGGAGGGGAACATCATTGAGGAGGACCCATATGAACAAGTTTCTACATCTACAAAGGTACAAAATATATTCTATCTTTCTATTCCGAACAGATTTAAAAGCACGTCCATGAGAAGCCAGAGAATAACTTAGCTGACTCCTACGGATTCCTTTGCGCATCAGCATTTTCTTCTCTCGGAGCTGCATCGGGAGTAGGGCCAGGTCCTAATAGCAGTGGCGGTTTACTCTCCTGAGCATCAGACCCCTTATTAGCATCAGCTGCAGCCCATGCTCGCAGAGGTGGTTCAAAGTGGCGACTGGCAACATCAGGCGGAGGCGGCGGCGCATCCTCTCCAGGGAGAACAAGGAGCCCCTTTTTGCGTAGAGATGAAGGTTCATTGTAGCAGGCATTCCAGATAGAGTCCACCAGTTGCCTCTCCTCTCTAGCAGCTCCTAGATCATCGGGTGACATCAGGCTCATGCCATTGATACGTTCTTGGAGCAACTGCTTTAGCTTCTCATCGTCCTCAGCTAGTCTGCTGCCAGTCCCGTCCTCCTTGTCTTGCACAAGCTCGAGCAGGCCCCGAAGAGCAGCTTCTCGAACATCTGAGTCATCACTGGCTACAAGATGCATCATGATGCGCGGGAATCCTAGCTCATTCACAACTTTGCAATCAGAGCCATTCTCATGCAGAAGGTAATGGATCAGGTTCAGTGCTTTCCTGAAGGACAATAAGCAAGGTTTTATCAGAGTCTTGAGAGTCTTCAGCTAATTTAAAGCAGAGACCCACCATTCCCCATTTTTTATCACTATAATGAACCAAACTATATAATGCGCTACCACTGGACTCATAAGAGAGCACTTACTTGCAGGATGAGAAAGTGGTAATAATACACACGTGGTAATATCACTTACTTTCTCATCCTCCAAGTAAGTGGTAAATGGTCTTACCTTTGAAATCTCACATTGTCTGAACTCAAAGCATCTTTCAATGCCACGTAACCATTTGCTAGACGAAAAGCAGTGATTCCAGGCTTATTGTGACGAATCAGAGCTGCATCAAGAAGCAAATTAACAAGATAACTAAGATTCTTGCACTGCAAAAACCACTTGTGATATATCTGCAATAAAATATATATTTATATATTTATTTGGCTATAAGAATCGCTCACAGGATATAGCACCAAGTGCTTTTGTACGGACTGTCACATCAGGATCTGACGTAAAATTAGAAAGCAGATATTCTAAGCCATTTGCTTCCATGACTAGTTGTTGACTCCTAGGATTGTTCTGAACTATGGTTGTGACAACGTCTGCAGCCTTTGCTCGAATATTCGCGTGTGAATTCTTCAAGTAATTGAGAAGAGGAAGTAAACCGCCAATTGAGTGGAGATCTGTCGCATATACAAAGAAAAGCACATGACAATGCAAAGAAAATTCAGAATGCCACCTTCACAATCTCTTGCAAGAAAAACAACAAGTAATTACCAAACAAGGGACACATAAAAGCAGATGGAGCACGAAGACCGACAGAATAGAACATAAAGCCACAAAGCAGAGACATCACCAGATGAATAGCTTAATAAAGTAATAAAGTGGTACTGAAGAAGAAAGCTAAGTGCAAGAGGAGAAAAGATGGGCAAAACATGAAAAAGGAAACCAAAACTACATAAAAAGGTGAGTGCAAATGTCCATGTACATGTGTACTATCACCACTCTCCACCAGTCAAATAGGATATTCATTGTAAATTATCTACAGGACCTTATGAACAAGAGAAGCCATCCCCCAAGGACATTTCAATCTAAACACGGTTAAGTAAGTGGAGGAGGTTCATTTGACTCAAAATTCTAAGAAGTGAGGCAACGAGCTTAACATATAACACTCCAAGAACACTGGAAGGGTGATGAGTTTAACAGATAACACTCCAAGAATACTGAAGGGTGGATAGCTGTGGTTCTTGAAACAAAAGCATGTATACATGAAGTACTTTAATAGCTGGTACAGTAAAGACTTTTACGAACAGTGTGGATAAAATAAGACGCAGCTGTGTTCAAACCAGTGACTGGAAATATAACTAAAAGACCAAATTACACACTGTGACTGGAAATTTTTCTCTTAAAATTCATATGTCTAGAAATAGGATCATAGTCTAAATAATATGTCATGCTGTATAACATTTTTATCTATACGACTTCATTGTAAGCCGTGACTTAGGCGTATTCTGGAATCTTCAGAGTACACCATAAAAACTATACTTTTTATCTTTTGATGCACGATGCCTCAACCTGCTTGGCTGAATTTACAGCTAAGATAATGCTGCTTCAAAGTGCATCATACGACTAATAAAAAAGTTAAGCTACTACTCTGGTGATTGCAACATCTTTGACACAACATCCATTCTATTCAAACTTCAACCTACACAACTTAATCTTGCCAACTCACATATATCTTTATTGGCAAATCATCTCACCTATTTAACCTAATCAGGGTCAGGAACTATATCTTTAGTCATACCAAATACCCCAATACGCACCCACTATCTTTGAAAAACTTGAAAGAGAATCCTACCAATATATAACACTAACGAAAAAATCATCCTTTAAAACAAACAACAGATTTCAGATAATTCCCATCTGTTTTAACCACTTGGGATCTATAATTTGAATGAAAACAAGGAACCAGGGAAGTAAAAATCGTGTAACAAGCAAAGGCCCTTAATGATAAGACCTCTTCATTTGTCATGGTCGGTCGAGATTGGAAGCAAGCAACCACTAAGTCTTTAAAAGAAGAAAGCTTGAGTATTACATAGTCAACGATGCCGTCAATATCCTAACGAATCAGAATCCAAAAAGTATATGAAACTGTTTCCGCAACTCTAACAATGCATTGCAGACTACTAAGGCCAAGTTCTACTAACTATACAAGTTGGAAACTTTCTTCACCAAATTAACCCATTTAGCTTCACGAAGCATAAATTACATTCTATCTCACACATAACAGAACCAGCAGTGTCAATAACAACGATAAACCGTGTGAATCTCAGTGCCCCAAATCTTTCCTACAGGCTCAGACAGAGGAAAAAAGAACACGAGCCAAACCACTTATTCAAATGAAGACCAAGAAACGGTAAAACAAAATCTACCGTTGGCCATGTCGATAGACTCGACGTGCTCCTGCAGCTCATCCAACATATCTGCCAGTAGAGAATAACAGAAGAAGTGAGCCACAGCATAAAAAGGGGGCAACGGAACTTCACGAGCAGCCGACACCCCAAAGCTCCGCGGCATTACCTTCGATATCACCGGCGGTAACACCCTGAGACTCCAGCACCTGCTCCGGCGTCTGCATCACCAGCGTGATCTCCTTCATCCGCTTGATCACGTCCACGGTCTGGGCCTGCATGGCCTCCACGAACCACCTCCGGTCCTCCTCGCTGCCACAAGCAACGAAACCATCAAACGCGACCGAACGCGAAACAAAGCAAAGCCCCCCAAAATCGAGATCGATCCGAACCTCAAGTCGCGGGCGGGGCGGGTGCCGTCGGAGTGGGCGACGCTCCATTTGAAGAGGCCTTGCCAGTTGGGCCCCTCGCCGCCGCCGCCGCCGCCGCCGTCGGACATTGCGGGGACGGTGGTCCTCCGAGGGAGCCGAGGTAACCGGAAACCCTAGGAATCGAGCTCAGCTGTGGTGGACGAGCTGCAGCGAGGAGAGGAAAACCAGAATGAAAATGAGGATCGAGCGGATTGGAATGGAGGGAAATATATATATACGACTAGGCGGTGGGGAGGCCGTTCTAGTGATTTCTGTACGCTTCCAGAACCGGAGGTGTCTCCCCGTCGTTGCTCAGCTCCCCGCTCTCGTGAGTCGTGACGTTTCCAAAACGATATAATGTGTCCCCCTTTCTTTTAGGGGTGGGCATCTATCCAGGATCGACTTTGGACCGGCCCAATCCAATCGGTCCTGATCCGGTTTCTAAGAGCGCGAATGGTAACCATTCAGCTCCAGAAATCAAATTCTTGCCAGAAATTGATTTTTGGAGGAGAAATCTGTTTGATAAAGCATGACTAATTATACTCCAGAAATTGATTTCTGGAACAGAAATCTATTTTGATTTGCTGATTTTTTTTTTCACCTAAAAAAATTTAAATTTCACTCAAAATGGGTGGTCACAGGTATTTTAAGCCATTTTGTGAAGTTTTAAAATTTTTTATTATTTTATTTTTTTGGGCACCTCAAAAAAAAAAATTTCACTCAAAGTGGGTGCCCAAATGTATTCTAAGCCATTTTCTGAAGTTTTGAAATTTTTGATTTTTTTGGGCACCTCAAAAAATTAAAATTTCACTCAAAGTGGGTGCCCAAAGGTATTCTAAGCCATTTTGTGAAGTTTTGAAATTTTTGATTTTTTTTTTTGCACCACAAAAAAATTAAATTTCACTCAAAGTGGGTGCCCAAAGGTATTCTAAGCCATTTTGTGAAGTTTTGAAATTTTTGATTTTTTTATATTTTTTGAAAAAAATTCACCAAATTTCCTATTTTCCCGAAATCTGACTTTTTTTTTATTTTTCTAGAAATTTTTATGAATTTTTCTGGAATTTTTCAATTTTTATGCATTTTCTGAAAAAAAAAATTAATGAGATCTCAAAATGTGTTGTAAAAGCCACGAAAAAGAGAGAAAATAGGGAGAATGCATTCTGGAAGAGAGAAGCTACAAAAAGTAGCTTATCTTTTTCTTGCCCAAAACTCATTCTGGAATCAAGAATGCATTTTGAAATCAAGTATTTTTAACAAACGCATTTTTATTCCAGAATGCAAATATTGCTCCAGAATGCATTCCGGAAATTTTTTAACAAACGCATTTTTGTTCCAGAATGCATTCTGGAGCAGAATTTCTACTCCATAATGGATTCCATGCGCGCCCTAAAAGGTCCAGATCGGTCCTTGATCTTGAGATCTTTGGACTTTATACTGTGCGGATTGATTCTCGATCATAAAAGTTTAGGGTTAGTTCAGGCTGGTTCAATCGAATCAATCATGTATATAAAATATATATTATCTACTCTAAACCTTAGTGCCTCGTCCTCTGTTCTCTTCTTTCTTATGCAGTTTAATTTGTCCGTGTAAATAAAAAGTATAAAAAAACCCAGCCCTACTTCGACCAAAAACAATAGAAACCATCTTCGCTCATCTCTACCTCGCTCGCCCGCCTCGGCCTCTCGCCTCGCTGCTCGCCTCTCTTTGCTTGCCTCGCTCACCTTGCCGCTCGCCTCTGTTCACTCGCATTGCCGCTCGCCTCACGAGCGCAGCTTAGCTGGACAAACATATTTTGTTAAGTATTAATTATATGTGTTGTTTATTTTGTTTTTAGGTGTTTGAAAGTTGAAGCAATCATTTAAAAACGAACAAGATATGAAGTTGTATAATTCATACTTTATATTACGTATTTTGAACTTTTTATGGTTTAATTGCAATTCATGTGTTCGTTTTCTTGGTTTGTTTCTTTTAGCAAGGGTGAATTTTATGTTATTACATTATCTTATATTTATGTTTGATATTTACCGGTGTTCATAATTTGGTTGCTCAATGTCGCATGGTTGTTAGATATGTAATTTGAAACAGTATGTTTGTCTTTTCAAGGAATACAAAAAATAAAACAAAAAAAATAATTGATTAGTTCCGAGTTGACCCTGGAATTGGATCAGACCCATAGTGTTGATCTGGTCTTTGGTCCCAGGCTCAATAGGGCCGATCCTCAATTCCAAAAATTGGGGATCAACACTGTGCGGATTGGTCTTTGAGTTATATTTTAGACCGGCCAAACCTAGACCATGCTCACCCCTACTTTCTTTGGCTTGAAATTATTGATTTTTTTTTTCGAAGTGAAAATGATATGAATGGTCTCTGAACTTAGGCCCAATGCGTAATGTGGTCATTGAACTTCTAATTTGTTCAATGCAATCCTTAAACTTTAGTCCCAATGTGCAAATGTCGTCCGTGAACTTTTGATTTTTTCAATGTGGTCTCCATATTTTTTGCACGTATTCAATTTAGTCCCTGAATCAGATAATCTAGGGACTAGAGGGACTAGATACTATCAGTTCAAGGACCACATTAAATAAATTAAAAGTTCAGGAATAACATTGCACATTGAGATTAAAGGTGGGGGGCCACATTGAACAACTTAAAAGTTCATGAACCACAGTGCGTATTGGACTTAAGTTTGGGGATCATTTGTGTAATTTAACTTCTTTTCAAACAAGTGCTTTTACTTTAAATTTATCTCACCAAAGTTTTAAAAATTCGTGGGAATTTTCTAATCAAGTCCCTAAGAGGGTTAATTCAAGCTAAACATGGGACTTGGGCCATGCCGATGCACAACGTGGCGAACATTTTTACACCGGCCGACAAGGCCGCTATAGAAGAGATTCATGCACAATGTTAGCTCAAATGGTTTCGGATTCTTACCTTTCTACCTCAAAATTACATTTTAATCGCCCATGTCAGGCGCAGTTGATTGGAGCGTTAGGGGGATTTTCAATTTAGGAATTGGAGGTTACTCGTTTATCAACCGTTTTGGTGTCATGAGAGACCAATGACTTGGACTTAACCGATTTGTGGCCGCGTCTCTATGTTGGTTCGCTGAATTATTTGCACAAAAATAAAATAATGAGGCAAATTTTTTCCATGGTAGCTTGTCCACAGAGAATTGTTTCCACATAAAACTCCAACGCGGTCAGAATGGCACATCAACTCGAATTGAGTGGAATTAGCGTTAAAGGGACTTGATTAAAAAGATTATGTAATTTAAATGGAAAAAAGAAATTAGATTACTCTCGAGACGAAAAATATAATTATTTCGGAATCATTTCCTAGTTCTTTACCTAATACTGAATTTCCACGCTCTAAAGGCCTTGGACTTGATGAAGATGCATGCTCTGATTATGATCATTTTAACTGGTTTTGATGTGGATCATTTTGAAGAAACTAATTGCGGTTTTTAGACAGTATGAGCAGATTTGAGATTAGAGTGAAAGTTTAGAATTTTCTAGGCAAAAGAAGTTCGAAGAAAAATTGGAATTAAACCTAAAGTTGGGGAGTTTTCAGAAAATTAGGCCCTCTCTCCCTTTCGTGAACCTTTTCTTAATTTTACCCTTCTCCATGTCTCGGGTGCTTGTCGCATCCTCGACATGGTATTATCTCTATGTCCGCTCCGCCGGCAGCTCGGACATTGTCCCAAGATTTCGTCGTCCGAGGGACATGTCCAAGGGCGACACACGAAGCCCGTGACTCGAAGGCTGCGATGGCGGGCGGCAGGCGAGTCAAGCTTCGAAACTTCTAAGGCTGCCGCATTAAAGCGCCGAGGTAAGCTGTAAGCGGCGTGTCTCGTCTTCCTACTTGCTTAACTGTGCCAAGATTCAGGGCTCACCTTGCTGATCATGAAATGATTCAAGAACTCCTCAGACATTTGGCTAAAAGAGGGAGGACATCTTGCGCAACTTTAGCATCGGGTGCACCACGAACCGTCGTCGTCGTCATCATCGCCTTCCGAGTTTCCGCACAGTCCCTTGGATCTTCCATCCCGTCTTAAGATCCTATTGGCATCTCGAAGCCTTGCAAGAGCTGCTCGTCTTCTGATAAAGTTTCCAGGGCTGCGTCGTACGTAAATCTTCCGCCTTCTTTTTCCAGCTCTCGTTGGCTAACCGGCAAGGAGACCTTCTCGGGCAGGCTCTCGCCGGTGCACCCCGTCTCGCGCCTTCATTCCGGGGAGAAGTAGCCTCGACCTTGGCCCATTGGATTCTGTAGCTCATATCTTCCATCGCAGCAGAAGTCAAGTGGTGTTGGGGCGTTTTGCTCAGCTATCCCAACAAGTCGTTCACTACTTCCTCTCTCAACAGTGAACAGCTCGACATCAACAGGTGGTTGGGTCTGATCTTTCCTCATTTCCACCAACAAAGGGATTGGTGTTCGTCAGCGTGATCATGATATTGACGGGGGATCTTGCTCATCTGCTCTTTCCCCAAGTTTCTTCGAGAGGATGCACGAGCAGAAATGGTGGATCGAGCAACCCATCCATTGGAAATCTACGAACGGAAGAGAAACAGCCGCTGCCTTGTGTCGTGGCAACCCCCAATTTTTTTTTTTTTTGTTAATACTACGAAAAATTCGAAACTGGTACATATGTCACAAATTTGCCAAAACTAATTTTTAACTACAAAAAACCCTAAACTGATACATTCATGATAAATATACCTCAAATTAGTACATTTGTGACAAATTTGCATTCCGGTAGTTTCCGTTGAATTGGATTAATACCATGAAAAACCACAAACTTATACATTTATGATAAATAAAGGGTAAAACCTGAAACTGGTACACTTATTAATTGTCACGTGTCATCCAACTTAGCAATTTGACAAAAAAATTTAACGGAAACCAATTGAGGGTAAATTTGTCACAACTATACCGGTTTGGGATTTTTGGTTGTCAAAAACTTAGTTTGAAATAAATTTGTCCTGGGTGTACCAATTTGAGGTTTTTGGTGATATCAACTTCTTCTTTTTTTTTTTCTAGAGATCCTTTTCATTTAATAGGAGAAAAATATATGATTTGAGAAATATTTTTCTAAAAATCATCGCTTGTAATAATTAGCCAATAAAAAATATTTTCATTATCGACAATAATTCATATATAAATACCATCATGAATGATTAAAATATTTTTTATTCATTTATTTTTGTAAGCAATATAAGTGGTCATTTTTAGATAAACGTTTTTCAAATCATTCATTTTCAATAAACAAACGGAAGGTTTCTAAATTTATGCTTGATTTCTATTTTCAACATTGAAATTTTCCTTATTTGCTTATAAGGTAACTAACAAGGAAAAAGTTGATTTTAATTAATGTTTTCTTTGTTAAGCAACTAGTTTAGAAAAATTCGTGATTTCTGATATACTATTTTTTTTGTTCGTATCACTTCTAATCACTTCTTTAAATATCGAATTAATTCAAATTAAGCACAACATTCGACCAAAAAAAAAATTAAGCAAATCATTCCTTAACATGCCCCAAATAAAAAAAAATGATGTTATTTGTGAATGTCCTCGGAACACTTATCAATCATGCCTAATCAATAAATATCTTCATTCATTCATTATTAATAAGAGGAAGACAATGCTCTGAAAATTAGTAAGTTTTATTGATTTATCTTATTCGAACCTAAACTGGTACACTTGTGACAGATTTACCCCAAACTATTTTTTTGACCATAAAAAACCCCAAACTGGTACATCTGTGACAATTTTACCCCGAACTATTTTTTTGACCACCAAAAACCCCAAACTGGTACACCTGTGATAATTTTACCCCGAACTATTTTTTTGACCACCAAAAATCCCAAACTGATACACCTGTGACAATTTTACCCCGAACTAATTTTTTAATATTATTTTTTTTTATTTTTCGAAATTTTTTAGTTTTTCTTTTCTTTTCTTTTTCCTTTCCTTTTCTTTTTTTTTTCCTTCATCTTCATTGGACCAACAATGGATTGTTATATTGTAATTGATACCACAATAACGTGACACGTAACATAAATGCTACATTTTGACCTAAAAAAAAACATAAACACTAAATGAAAGACTTTCTTTTATATGCATGAATTTTCATGACAACCACTTTTTTCTACATTTAAATGTCTCACGTTTTATTTATTATATATTTCAAGTGATCATATTGATTTATGAATCGCCATGCACATATAATATCTCTCATCTTATATATAAAATATACTAATTTTGTAAATTAATCTGTTAAATTAAATTGGCAAGCAAGATGTATATAAATTGTTGATTAGCTGTACTCCAAGCTTAGGTAACAAGCCTACGTTGGACCCCATCAGTTTGCCTATCCACTTGCACCCAAAAATAAGAAAGACACGACAACAATATAATGCCTTTTTCGCGAGACATTTAAATGTAGAAAAAAGTGGTTGGCATGAAAATTCATGCATATAAAAGAAAGTTTTTCATTTAGCGTTTATGTTTGTTTTTTTTTTGGGTCAAAATGTTGCATTTATGTTACGTGTCACGTTATTGTGGTATCAATTACAATATAACAATCCATTGTTGGTCCAATGAAGATGAAGGAAAGAAAAAAAGAAAAGGAAAGGAAAAAGAAAAGAAAAGAAAAACTAAAAAAATTCGAAAAATAAAAAAAATAATATTAAAAATTAGTTCGGGTAAAATTCGCAATGTTCGCATTAGGGTTTTTGGTGGTCAAAAATAATTCGGGGTAAAATTGTCGGGTGTACTGGGTTTGGGGTTTTTAGTGGTCAAAAAAATAGTTCGGTAAAATTATCACGAGATGTCTGGTTGGGGTTTTTTATGGTCAAAAATAGTTTGGGGTAAATCTGTCACAAGTGTACCAGTTCAGGGTTTTTCGTGGTATTAATCCAAATTTTTTTTCGGAGACAAAAGCTAAAAAAAAAATGTGTTTTTTGCCTTTTTGGGAAAGCGAAAATCAATCCATAAAAAAAAGCACAAAGGGCAATCGAAAAAAAAGGCTTAATCGCCACGCTAACGCCATCCATCTTTATGCCTCCCTATTTCGCTCTCTCTCTCTCTCTCTCTCTCCTCTCTCCTCTCGATCCCCGCGAAATTAGGGTTTGCTTCTTCTGCCCCCCGCCCCTTTCCTCCTCCTTCGATTCGCGATCCCGCAATCCGTCCGCCATTTCCATATCCTCGCCCTCGATCTTTCTCTGAAACCGATTGCTTCTGCATCCCGATCCCTTCGTCTCCAGGATTCGACCTCCCAAGATCCGCGGGCTTTTTTTTTAATTTCCCCGGCGAGTCCCGAGCTTCGGCGTCGGCCGCATCGATGGCGTCCGCGGACTACTCGTACTGGTGCCACCGCTGCAGTCAGGTCATTCGGGTCGAGACCCGCGATTCCGGGTCCGTCGCCTGCCCCAGCTGCGGCGGCGGGTTCGTCGAGGAGCTCGAGTCCCCGTCCTCCGCCGCCGCCGCCGCCGCCGCCGCCGCCGCCGCCGGCCCTCCTCCGCGCCACCGGTTCCCCGCGGCCGCCATGTACCCCGGCAGCGGCTCCGATTCGGACTTCGCGCCGCGGCGCAGGAGGAGGAGCGGCAGCGACAGATCCCCTTTTAACCCGGTTATCGTCCTCCGCGGAGCGGCCGACGGCGGCGGCGGGGACGAGGGGATTGCGGTCGAAGGAGGTAGCAATTACGAGCTGTATTATGATGATGGTTCGGGTTCTGGCTTGCGGCCGTTGCCCGCGAGTATGTCGGATTTCTTGATGGGTTCGGGGTTCGATCGGCTGCTTGATCAGCTGGCTCAATTGGAGATAAATGGGATTAGGAGGTTAGAGAATCCCCCGGCTTCGAAGGCTGCTATTGAGTCTATGCCCGTGGTTAAGATCATCGGGAATCATATAGATGCCGAATCGCATTGCGCTGTTTGTAAGGAAGCTTTTGAGCTTGATGGTGAAGCTAGAGAAATGCCTTGTAAGCACATCTACCATGCTGATTGTATAATGCCTTGGCTTTCGATTAGGAATTCGTGTCCCGTGTGTCGGCATGAATTGGCGAGTGATATACAAAGCAGTGTGAGTAATGTGAATGATAGAGATGGGATTCGAGAGGAGGATTCGGTGGGGTTGACGATATGGAGGCTCCCGCGAGGCGGGTTTGCAGTGGGGAGGTTTACAGGGGGAAGGAGAGCTGCTGAGAGGGAGTTGCCCGTTGTTTACACTGAAATGGATGGTGGTGGGTTCAATGCAGGCGGGGTTCCAAGGAGGATTTCGTGGGACTCAACTAATAGGAGAGCCAGAGAGAGGAGTGGGTTGCGCCGGGCATTTCGCAGTTTCTTTTCATTCTTTGGGAGGCTTCGAACTTCATCGCCCAGATCAGATGCTGATCCTGAACCGGGGTCTACGAGGAGAGGTCACTTAACTGCTGTATTTGGTAGATCCTCACGGAGGCGCGGCCAAGTCTTGTTCTAGCTTAAGGGGAATCAGCTGTCAACTTTTCCCTCATCTTCAAATTAGTCTGCACTTGATGGTGCATTTGGCTGGCTCAATTTGATGCGTGGCAAAGGTTGAAAATTTGCACAGTTATTGTAGATAATAACACCAATGGAAGTAGGATGAAGAAACTCTCTTTTGAAGGTCATCTGTTTGAGGAGTAAATTGTGTAAGGGTGCGTTTCCACACAAATTTTGGCCAGAGCAAGTAAGAAGTTTCCGATGCAATGCATGTAATGGGCTTTCAGAGGTAGAGAATAGGTCATTGTACATGGCTTCAGCTCTGCCGACAGCTATATTAGAGGAACTCTATCAGTTTTTGTTGGCTTAAAAGTTATGAAAGCAATTTTTAACCTTTTCCTCCATTCTAATTTATGAAAGTTCCTGTCCATCTCTTGTGTCCTTTCTAGTTCCATTTAAGATACTATTTGGGTATTCTAACTTAACGCAACTTGATGTTTATTCTCCTAATAGTTGTTTGTATCACTCATCCTGTACAATTTTTGGGCCATTATGAAGGTCTCTACGTTGTTCTGCCGTGTTAGTTCCTCGCAGAAATTGCCTCGAGTTTAGTTAAGAACCGAGGGCCTCTTTATGTAAGAATGAATGGTCGCCTTTTATAAAATGAATTCTTTTATACGAGTACAACTTATCTACTCTAACTTCTACGAGATGGCTCCCATTAATGGTCAAATGCTTGTGTTATCTACCTTAAGTTGTGTATTTTTTCATAATTTGATCACGATCTACTTTGTTTAACTAACTGCTGTTAGATAGGTCCCATGTATGTTCAATTGCTGCTATGAAATGCTTTTTCAACTAATTGCATTGACTTGGTTTGTGACTAATGATACTGGAACATGATAAGTCATTTGCGTTGGTCTTCTAATTGCTGATCAGTGCTATTAGTAGCTAATTAGCAACTTCATCCTTTACAAGATATCCTTTCAGATACTTCATTTTAGTACTTGAGATGATAGTTATCGATTCTTTGGGCAAGAATTCAGAGGTTGCAGTTTAACGGTATATCTGGCATAAACTAAACACTTTTTCCTACCTTACCAAAAAAAAAAAACACTAAACACTTTTTCCTTTAGCAATAGAAGGGAAACGTGACTGTGTCCATTGACTTAGAAAGGCAGCCGTGAGAATTTCGTGGTGTTACCATCACAAGTCTCCATCTGGTAGCATGTCCACATTCAGAAATAAGCTTGTCATAGACTGTGTTTTCTTTCACCCAAAAAACACTTCATTTGGTGTTTGCTGTGTTCAACTCCTTTAATTAGATATAAATTATTAAGTACTGTTGATGAAATTCAGATGCTTTTGCGGTTCTGACTTATTTTGCTTAAGTAATTAACTAAGGTGCTGTCAACCAAGAAGAAGCTCCTAGGTACTATTATGTCTGCTAGTTGCCTGCATGTACATTTTCATGGCCAGATAATATGCTTATGCAACTACTGGGTTCTTTATGATCTGAATAAAGCATCAAATTCTACACATGAACATTGAAGAAATTTTTGCATTGGTGCCCTTTTCTTTCTTTCCTCCTAATTTTATTTATTTGGTCCATGCGTTAAAGCACCTCGTTTAGAGGACTGATGAGAAGATCGACAACCTTAAACTTGGGGTTATGGGGTGATATGTTCCAGATGGTTTAGCCATTAATGCCGCAGACTACTTATTTTAGTCCATAAGTAAAACCTGTCATGTGATTCAAAAATCAGAATTGAACTCTACAATACATTCTTCACTGTCCTTTCCCATTACGTGAGATTATGGTCTCCCTTAAGCAGTGCATTTGACAATTAATGGATGGTTGGAAGTATTGCATCTGGCGGTAGCATAGTGCTACTGCAGCTGTTTTGCAGGCAATGCCATCAGGTCAACTCGGCTTATGTAGGTATGTCTTCGAAAAACCACACCATTAGTAGAATTTCTTCTTCTTCCCCCTTGGTTTCTGTCTTCTGGTTGTAGCCATCACTAACTGGTGTAATCAGTCTGATTCTTTCCCCGCGTAATCTGCATCTGCTTTTTCCATCCTCTGAAATTTTTCTTGCTCCTCTGTTGACTTGGACGTGGATCTTATTCAATGATGTGACTTTTTGAGGAGTTTTGTTTCTCTGTTGTGGACCGACATCCCGATTTCCACGGTTGTGTTCATCGCTGCAATTGCTTTTTCTGGACTTACTCAAAGCAGTGTACAAATTGCGGGGAGAACTGGAAGTGCTTCTCTTTACTCACAGAGAGACAAGCCCGACTTCGATGCATCCTTCGTTTATCATGCTTCTACAAAGAATTTCTTGCATAGGGACAGTGAAATCCTCGAGCAATTATCATGCTAGCGCTGGTTTGCCCGACAGTAGCTGCCGCCGGAGAGGGAGTTAGGGTGGACTTCAACATTGAGGGCTGGTTTGGTTGCATGATATAAGATATCGGTTCCTGTTGTGACAGCATATTGAATGGAGTGTTGGAGCCGCAATCCATGAGGATAGCGCTCTGATGAGAAGGAACGATGCCGTCGGGAGGTTATTTATACCGGTGCTGATTTTCTATGCTCTTCACCTTGATGACTTGTCTTTTAACATGATTATTCACATTTGACATTTGACTACCGGCATAGAATTTCAATGTTTATGGCATGAGAACCGTTTTTCTCTTGAAAACTTTTTTCAACAATATTATCAATTTTTCGATAAATTCTAAACATTCCTTAAATACAACGTGTGTTTAAGAAAAAGTGATTCATCATAAAAAGGTTAATAACGAAAAATCTCAAATTGATACACATGTGATAAATTTATCTCACAAACTTCAAATTGGTACACCCGTAACGAATTTATTCTATGTTAGTTTTCATTAAATTTTATCATTAAATTATTGAATTAAATGACACGTGGTAGTTGATAGGTATACCAGTTTGGGGTTTTACCCCTATGTTTATAACATTTTTATCAATTTGTGGTTTTTCATGATATTAATTCAATTTAACAAAGGGTAAATTTGTCACAAGTGTATCGGTTGGGGTAAATTTGTCACGGATATACTAATTTGGGGTTTTTTGTAGTCAAAAAATTAGTTCGGGTTAAATTTGTCACAAATATATAAGTATGGGTTTTTTCGTGGTATTAACCCTATTAAAAAAAAGGTGCTTGTTAGAGTTTTGGTTTCTTGATTCGATTGTGTTTATTTAGCTCGAAGAGCCCTTCTATAAATCACGTCCATGCAAAACTTCTATTCTCTTTTCGTATAGGACTTTGGCCATGATGACGCTAACTTATATTTCTTTTTCTTTATTGGGAAAAAGCTATCAAAAATCCCAAATTATACTTACTGTGACATATTTATCCTTAATTTTTTGTGACATTAAAAGTCCCAAACTAGTTTATTATGACACATTTACTCTAAATTTCTTTATGTGACATAAAAAATCTCAAACTTGTACCTATGTGATACATTTATCCACGTCAATGTTTCTTCAGATGATTTTTCAGTCAAAATGGCGTTGTTTTTATTTCACTTAAAACACGTGGATGTCATTTCAACATGTTTTGTTTTTCGGCATCTATGTAGGCAAACTTTTAACATGCTCATTGACGAAATTTTGACGGATGGTAAATTTTTCACACAGGTATACGTCCAAAAAAAAGTTTAGAGTAAATGTATCACAGTAGATATAATTTGAAATTTTTTGTGACTTTTGCTCTACATTATATTGTACATGTATTGAATTTTTTTTCTTTGGAATAAATTCTATTAACTTTTTTGTATCGTTTTGAAGGTTTTTATGATAGAGTACAAGAACGACGAGCACATGTTTAGTTGGAAATTCTCCTTTTTTTCCTGTCATTTTTCTCACTTTAAAATAAGATAGATCGAGGAATGATAATACAAATAAGGGATAAATATCACAAATTGTCCATGAATTTTAATCCAGTATATAATGTTGTATTTGAACTTTTAATTGTGTAATATGATCCTTGGAGATTGGCCTAATGTGTAATGTCATTCTTAGGTTTTTAATTTGTTTAATATCGTCTCTGAACTATTGGTATATGTTCAACGTAATATTTAAACTATATGAAAATATGTAAAAGTTCAGGGACCAAGGTTTCCACTGAACATTTGACTAAAGTTCAGTAACCATATTAAACAAATTAATAGAGGCGATATTACACATTTGACTAAAGTTCAAGAATCATATTTAACAAATCAAAAGTTTAAAGGTAATATTGCACATTAGATCAAAATTTGGAATTATATTTTAGTTATTTCCACTTCCTAAATGACTAAATCTACCCCATTCACACTAAAAAGACAAAACTGCCCTCAATCTTTTACTTTCAATTTAAAGTGATTGCCCCACTTCTTATTTCTCTTTTTTTGGTTTTGTTATTTAAGATAGTTACCGCAATTAAACATGTATTGTTTTTTAGTGTATTAAAGAAAAGTGCATTATAAGATATTCCTATAACTTTTTGCATACTTTGTGTAAAATTATCTGGCTAATAGTTTAAAAAAAAAAGACGTTCTTTGGTGTTATATAAAACTGAAATGTCTCTTCTTCATAATTGATCTTAGAGTTAATACCACGAAAAACCTCAAACAGGTATACCGTGACAAATTTACCCCAAATTATTTTTTTGACCACAAAAAACCCTAAACTGATACACCTGTAACAATTTTACCCCAAACTAATTTTTCCCCTGACTGGTATACCTATGACAAATTTACCCTCTATTAGTTTCCGTTAAATTTTACTGTCAAATTGCTAAGTTTGATGATACGTCATAGTTGATGGGTGTACAAGCTTGGGGTTTTACTCCTTTGTTTATCACAAGTTTACCAATTTATGATTTTTCGTTTTATGAATCCAATTTAACAAACACTAACGAAGGGTAAATTTGTCACAAATGTATCAGTTTGGGATTTTTAGTAGTCAAAAAATTAGTTTTGGGTAAAATTATCACAAGTGTACCGGTTTGGGGTTTTTGGTGGTAAAAAAATTAGTTCGAGGTAAAATTGTCACAAGTGTACCGATATGGGATTTTTTGTGGCAAAAAAAATAGTTCAAGGTAAATTTATCACAAGTGTTAGTTTTGGGTTTTTGGGGTTAATTCCAAAAAAAAGCACCAACTTTAGGTCGATGGACAATTTTGGCCCAAACTTGTTTTTGTTCCATAAAAAAGCATCAACTTTAGGTCGAGGGACAATTATGGCCCAAAATTTTTTTTATCCCGTAAAAAAGCACCAACTTTAGGTCGAGGGACAATTCTGCCCTAACTTTTTTTTGTCTCGTAAAAAAACACCAACTTTCACTTAAATCCCAAATCTGGCCCTTATTGACTTAAAACCATTGATTTTCCAACTTGACTATTCCACCTTAGCAATAAATCCACGTGACTTGCTGACTGGATTTAAAGCATTATTCATTGTCTTATTCTCTAAATCACAGCTTGAAGAATAACGGTGAAACTGTTCGTCTCCTTCACTTCACCGGCAAGTCAAAAATATCTCTAGATTGAATCTTTCTGGCCAAACTTTGTCGTTTTGTCGTAATCTGAAGCTGTAGACCACCGTCCGTCAACAGACGCCATGGAAGAGATTCGCCAGGCTCATCACCATAACTTTTTTTCTCAAACGTAACTTCAGACAGAAAGTCAATGGGGGGCCAAATTTGGGATTTAAATGAAAGTTGATGTTTTTTTACGAGACAAAAAAAAGTTCAGGCCAGAATTGTCCCTCGACCTAAAGTTGGTGCTTTTTTACGGGACAAAAAAAAGTTCGGGCTATAATTGTCCCTCGACCTAAAGTTGATGCTTTTTTATGGAACAAAAAAATGTTCGGGCCAAAATTGTCCCTCGACCTAAAGTTGGTGCTTTTTTTTTGGAATTAACCCGGGGTTTTTGATGGTCAAAAGATTAGTTCAGGATAAAATTATCACAGGCATAACAGTTTGAGAATTTTTCGTGGTATTAACTCTTGATCTTATAACAACTTAACTTTCTTTTGCCATCTTATCTCAAAAGCTCGCTTTCTTAGTGAACTTTTTTTTCTAGTTTTTTTTAAATTCCATTAGTCTAAAATATATATATCAAATCTCTTTATTTAATATATCAAAGAATTCATATTTTTCCTTACTATAATGACAAGATACTTTTATATAGAGCATGTATGACATTAGAGGAATATATATGAATACACTAACAACCTTATGTACAATGAGGTATCTTGATATTTTTTTGCAAACAGTTCATCGATGATATCAATTTTTTTATCAATAAAAAATAATGATATTTCATTGGCATATTAAAAAAACAAATTCTTACTTTACGCAATGTTTTAATTTAATGAAATTTCATCTTCTTAATAGTTCATCCTTAAATTTGATCAACGATTGCAGAAAAGAAGCATATTTCTTGGAAGCTTCCCTTTTCGACAAAACAAATTTTTATGGAAGCAATAATCAACAATAGAAAAAACACAGTGCCTCTGATATACATGGAAAACCTACGATAAACATAAACTAAATATATGAAATTCTTTATTATGGTAAGTAGATCTCATATGGACATAGAAAAACTTAAAAATAAGAGGGAAGGAAATAAATTTGGAAACGCCAATTGAGATGGAATGCAAGTTCATCTTTTTGATGAAAATTTGGTGGATTTAGTCTTGCAGCGGTGAAAATGGTAGAGAGAGGTTTTTGCATATTTGTCAACTCCGACGAAAACAGAGCTGAGAAACGATGGCGAAGTGAATTTGGATTTGATAATTTCTCAGAGCTTGCTTCGTTTGATGGATGGGAGAGTGTGTGTCCACTTCCTTTCTGTTGAATGACAAATTTTACTTTCGACGGATGATTTCGAACGACCATTGAAAGATTCAGGGGGGGGATTAGCGTAGAAAAGAGATCACTGTCGTCATTTGTTATCGATTGTTGTTGGGAAAACGAGTGGAAATCTTGCTCCTCCACGTTCGCCTTCCCATCTTCTTGATTCTCGATCCGAGAATCGAAGAAGCAGAGGCGTCCCATCATCCACCGTCGCCGGTGCTCCAAGGTGGGAGCATCTGGCGCCGACCCAGAAGCGCTAGAGTCGTCTTTAGTGAAATTCAAGAGCGACCCACCAAGCATCGCCGCCGCATCGCGCCCGCCCACCTCTCAAGTTCACTCCTTTTCGCCCCTGGGGAAGGCCCGCGCCGTCGTCTCCGGGGTCGCCGCCGTCTCGCCGCCGGTGGTGCCTCCGGGGGGATAGAGGGGGCGCAGGATGAAGCGGCGAGGCGGGATCGGGTTCTCCCTCCCCGTCGCCGTCGTCGTCCTCGCGATCGGCTTCCTCTACTTCTCCACCGTCTTCGTGTTCATCGACCGCTGGTTTGGCCTCGCCTCCTCGCCGGGCCTCATGAACGCCGCCGCCTTCACCGCGGTCGCCCTCATGTGCGCCCTCAACTACGCCGCCTCCGTCTTCACCGACCCGGGTCGGGTCCCTCCCACCTTCGTGCCCGACGTCGAGGATGGCGAGACTCCGATCCACGAGATCAAGCGCAAGGTACGGCTCTGATTGCGTCTTTCCGAAGGTTTCCGCTTATACGATGCTGTTGATTCGGTTCCAAGAATCGATGGTTTCTTCTTTTTGCCCCGTTCAATTCCAGTTCATGCGCATTTGATACCTCCATACTCTGACTCGCTCGCGTTTAATGGATTTTTAGAGAATGTTATTACATGCGTGGGCTGATATGTAGTGCTCTATTTATGGAGGCGATCTGGAGATATGGGCATGACTGTGATTGATACTGTTTTAGTTTTTCGAGATTTCTCTTCCCGGAAAAGGGTTGTCAAACTTGCTACTATCAGATCTTGGTTCGGTGAGATGCTGATGCGATCCCTGTAATAAAGATGGAGTGGAGTATTCATTGTGTTGGCAATGTTGATCTATGTAGAATGCTTGTAGACATCGAATTAGTAAAGGGATGCTTAGTCGCGAATATATGAAGTGCAGTCCTTTTTAGTGGTCTTGGCCATTGCATCCATGCGATTCCGCAAGACGACAGGGATAGCCTGTTGAAAAGATTCTGGAAGTAATTGTAGTTTGTAAATAGAATGAACGTAGGTGTTAACCTGAGAATAATGTGTCCCTGTCTGCTTGTCTTGCTCTAGCCATTGAACTAGCGTCAAAGGTGCCATTACTATTATTAGTTAGGTATTGTGCCTGCAATATGGACCATGGTACTCTGAAGACATTATCAGGTGTGCTGGCCATCCTATAACTAACGCAACACCAAGTCTCGCATATTGTCTATCGCAAAATGATTGAAATTGCCTCCTTTGTGAAAATTACATTGATGCTCTTTATGTGAAGTTTGAATTGTCCACCCATTATGATGCTCGCATAATAATGATACTTTCAGCGATGAAATTTATGATGCCAAAGGGTGTGCTGAATTGCATTTGTAATTACATTTCAGCTTGGGGATCTAGTGTATTTTGCGGAATTTTGGAAGAATCATATATCCTGTGTTTTGTGTTCCACATCTCCCAATTGTTTTTATTTTCTGTTCACTTTGTTGAGGGAATTGTTTGGAATGTCATTTGGTCATGGCATTAATGTATCCCGATCTACGGGGTTTGCTCTATAGGAGTTGACAAATTTGAGTGTGCACTTGAGTCTCTTCAACTTCTCATCAGTGAGATCATATATGATGCACATTCATGTATGGGGAGTTAAATTCCATTTATGTTGTCTATCTAGTGTTTGTATATTCTCAAGTTTAGTCAGGCCTGATCAATTATCTTGTGTCCCACCAAGCCTGGGTCAGAATTATTATTTGAATGGTATGTCTTCCCTACTGTCCCTTGGTGCCTGGGCTACAGAACAAAGTTCTCTGTTTGAGGCATTGACTCTATGAATGATGTAGCGCTGAATCTGTGTTGATGCTACTCTTGGTTCATAGGGTAGGCTTGGCATAAATCGCTGGGGCTTGATTCTTGTTTAAGCTGGCTAATTGATCAGTCCTACTTGAATTAGTAGACAGAAAGAAGCTAATTGTTAAGGATTTTGCTGTCAAAAAAACGCAATAAAAAAAAAATTCTATTATGAGGGTGATACTCAAACTTTTTAGTAGCTTCTACTTAGTCTCTGAATCTGGAAATTTAAACCTGCAAATTTGTTATTTTGAGGATTTTGCAGGGTGGAGACTTGAGATATTGCCAAAAGTGTTCCCTCTATAAGCCTCCGCGTGCACATCATTGTCGAGTTTGCAAAAGATGTGTTCTGCGAATGGTATGCATGACGCACGCTATCGTCTGTGGATTAATCTTTTTTATACTATGTTCACTTAGCTAGTGTCACTTGAATGTCAGGATCACCACTGCATTTGGATAAACAATTGTGTTGGCAACGCAAACTACAAGGTGTTCTTTGTATTTGTTGTCTATGCAGTAACAGCATGCATCTATTCACTGGTATGTATGTATTTTCTCGGAGGATTCCTTTGAGTGATTTATGTTAAGAGTCCAATTTGCTATATCCATATGCGCTTTGAACCACTGCACGGTTCCTTTTAATGAAGTTCATTCGATTTGATGCATCCATCTATCCTCTTGAGGAGAGGTTTGATTTTGGTTCCACAGTTTGGGACTCTGTGTTCCTAATGCTGGCATGCTTTCGTTAATGAACTTCATCGTGCCTTATCTATATTCGAGCCAGAAAGGACCTCTTTATTTGTGATCTAAGTTAATAGGCATCAACTGTTGGACTAATTTCCAGTTAGAGCATTTGAATGAGATCAGTTATTTATGCTAACCCTTTTGGATGAACATATAGGTCTTGCTTCTGGGTAGTTTGATCAGTGATCCTGAAAAGGATGATCAGCAAAGTGAAGACTCCTCGCGAACCATATATGTAATACACCCGTAACACTTGGTTTGATACTCCATATATTCTCGAGTCCATTGACTCATAGTCTGCTATTTACAGGTTATTTCGGGGCTGTTGCTTGTACCTCTGTGCATTGCATTAAGTGTCCTATTGGGTTGGCACATCTACCTTATTTTGCATAACAAGACCACAATTGAGGTTGGTAAAGTCGACAGAACTATCATCTGTCCATTGTTATTTGCTGATAACTCTCTTCTTTTAGCTCTTATTCTTTTTCGACAGTATCATGAAGGTGTGAGAGCAATGTGGTTGGCAGAGAAGGGAGGGAGTGTCTATAATCATCCATATGATCTTGGTGCCTTCGAAAATTTGACAACGGTAAGAGCAATATACCCTATATTAGTGGGTGGTCAAATTCAACGTCGCCCTTTGACTTGATTCCAGGGCTGAGAATTTTGATATGGTAGAGATAGTAGTACTACACGGTGAATAAGGTATTTCTGAGAGAAATACAAAGGTGAAACAAATACTATTGGCTCAAACGAACTTAAAGCTTCTCTACGTACACAAGGCTCGATTGCTGCCTTACTTTGAACGATCGCCTGTTTTAGTTTGTACTTTGGGAACCGAGGATTGTTTGTCCTCTCTATTTGTTTTTCCTCTGTCTTGCCTCAAGTGGCTCACATCATTTTGTTTCCTTCAGGTGCTGGGTCCAAACATATTAACCTGGGTATGCCCCACATCTACACACATCGGTTCCGGTCTTCGCTTCCGCACCTCGTATGACGAGTTGGCCGCTTCGCCTGATTCGTAGCCTCTTTCGCTTTGTCGGGAACCGACCTCGAGTCATACCACATTCTTTTAACTCACAGATGCAATAGAGCGCTCTCCATTTGATTTAGAGGTTCCTAGACCGTGCGCCCCCGCGGCTTTGCATGCAGGAATTTTCCCACGACTAGCTGCCTGGCTTTCTGATGCCGAAGCTTTATGGCTGCGAGGTTCTCGGGAGGCGTGCAGCAGGTGTAGTCTTTGTAAGATTTGGTTAAAGGTGGGGGAGTTTGGTCTTTCTTTTGGATTTTGTTGTGTCATAGGTTTGTCCTTGCGGGTGGTGGTATAGAGCTCTCGTGCCTGTATGAAATTCGGCTCACAACTGTACAAAGAGGAAGGTATATAAAAGGATCATTCGATTGCCAGATTTGCTTTGGTACCACACAGGTTTGGTTAGGAAGTACAGAAACGTGAATGCATTTCCTTGTACGTTGAGAGTTGTAATTGCTTGAAACGGGTTGAAAATAAAGATTCGAGTTCATCACACACTTGTTTTCTTGTACTTGGTGCCTTCATTCCTGTCAAAGAGGAAAATTGTACATTTTTTTGGCACGTTCGCCCTCGACTATTGACCGTTAATCCTTTTAACTTTCATTTTGTTATAGCCGTCAACCCTTGATCTGTTTTTTCTGTTTGCCTGTGCCTAGGAAGTCATTTTTCAGGAGCAAAATTGCAGTTCTTCTTGATTATTTTTCTACTAAATGACTCTCCTGCCTTCATATATGTTGAAACGAATGAATGTTCATGCAATAAAAACAAGAAAAAATGAGGGAAAAAAAAATGTAATGATCATTAGAACAATATTAGGACACAATAATTTGACTTGAAAATAAAGAACAATAAACACGTTTACCCTTAAAAAATCACCTGTTGGATTCGTGCAAACGGAAAAATGGACGGAGAGTTAACGTTTACAACAAAATAATATTTCAAGAAGGTTTGGTGCAAATGTTGAAAGTTGGGAAGCGAATGGGCATCGTGACAGTTCGGAGGGGGTTTTGTATAAAATTCCCCAATAAATATGTACCGCAAGTGGTACAATGCTACAGGGTAAGTAATTATGGCCGCATTTGGTTGGGCTTTTGGGGAATTTTTTTGAGAAAATACAAAGGATTTTAGGTCAAATGAGTTTTTCAAAATGCAAATAGTATTTGGTGAATTGTAATTTAAAAGTGCGTTGGAAAGTAACTTTGATTTAAATGGTGTTTAGAAAAATTAAACATTTTAAAGGACTTTTGCTATTTAAAAAAAAAAAAAAACTCAAACCAGCTAAGGGCTCAAGTGACTGGTGGGTGGCCGATGCTAGATCTGGCCAAATAGCTCGCTAGCGACGTTGCATGGGGAGAGGGCATTTCTGAAAAAGTTTAGCGATAGTTTAGCGATGACAAAGTTGGAAGAAAAATATGTATCAGCATTATGGAAATGCTCAAAAATCCTTCGGACCTGCCTTAAGCTAAAGGTCTTTGGAAATGCTGTTGCATCTCTGCAAAACTCTTCAAGAAATTTATCAGACACCATTTGCCTTGGGTCAAGGAAAGTTTTCTCACACGCAGCCTATGTCATTCTAGGATCCAGTTAAATTTGATCATAGACTCGGCGACCCAATGAGCTCGTATGAGCTAGCAAGGCTCAAAGCACAATCCAGCCTAACCTGGACATGCAATTTTCTTTTTTGCTCGAGTATGCTCCTATGGACATATTTAGGCCCTTCGGGTCGGGTCATTTTACAAAAAAAGAAAGCCTTATTATTTTTTTTTTGTATCGTGAGAGAACCGGACCAACACTTCCGAGACATTAGTCTCGGTTGAGGTCCAAATGTTGAAAGCCTTCAAAGGCTCCGTCTTGGAAATGGGGCAAAAAGAAAATTTTAACTGGAAAATTTTGATGAATTTAATTTAATTTTTGGGAGATAGAAGTATGTTGGGAAATTTAATTATTGGGATGGTTTTCCTTGCATTCGCTGCACCTAGATTTGCTCCCATGCAAAGCTGAAGTGTCGCTGGTGATTACTTCTATGGGGTGGCAATTCCAGATGTGACATAAGAGCACGACTTGCACTCGACACAAATTTAGCGAAAGAAACCGAATCCGGCACGACTTAACTCGAAACTGACATGTCTTCATCCTTTTTAAATTAAAAAATATTACATAGTTATATCGAAACATTTTGGCAACGACACGAGACGACACAGATGGTCGACAGGAACGTTGTATGCAAAAAACACGAATTCCCCATATTTCCGTTCCCCTGCCCTTCAGGTCTGCTTGCTCTGCTTTTAACTTCTTAGGAGGAGTCTTGGATGAACGTTCTTTGGATGCAAAAGTCAGGGATGAGGGGGGTTCGGATTTTAAATGCTGGAAATGCGTCTCCGATCTAAATAAGAGCTACAATAGTTATACCAAATACCAAAACAATTTCCTCAAACTCACACGTAATATGTTACGTTATAGATATTATTTACTAATTATTTTAAGCGGTATAATCGATTTTTTAAGAAAATATTTTTAAAATTATTTATTTTCCTCATAATAAACGGAAGGGATAATATGGGTTGGACCCACCAAAGCTTCGGACGTGGCGCAACGGCACGTGGAGACGAGATGGCCCCGCCATGGTCTCTACCCCACCGCCCCCGCCCTCCCTCCCTCCCCGCCGCGCGCTGCGCAGACGTGGCGCCACGCGCGGTTGTCAGCCGATTGCGGCGACTGGTCAGCCGGCGCACGCGCCACAACCCCCCGCGTCTGCCCCTTGTACCTACGGAACAAGATTGGCCCACAAAAGGTATAGCGCAGGCGAACCTTGGATAAACTGCAAAGGAGAAACAGCTCCAATCTCCTCCGTCTCTCTCTCTCTCTCTCTCTCTCACTCTCACTCTCACTCTCCTCTCTGCTTCGACATGGATCACCAGGACGACGAGAACCCATCCGAGATCAATAGGTTCGAATCCCGATGCCTTCTTTGTTTCCTGGGTCTTTCTTTCTTGGCTCGATACTTTCGCTGCCTCGTTGTTTTGTTATGTCGATCGAGTCCGGCAGTTCTTGTTCTGCCGAAATTCGCTTGAAGAAAAAGATTGATGGGGTCTCTCTGCGCGCGTCTCGTTAGCTTTGGGAATGGGGTCGCGTTATCTGGTGGGGTTGGACTTTTAGGGAGCCGGAACAAGAATCGAAGGGTTTGCCGTCAGATTTGTGTTAGCTTGGTGTTAACCGAGAAAGAGCAGATTCGGCGGCTGACTTCTGAGAGCCTGTTTTACTCTCTTTCCAGGAGTAGGCTAGAATGATGGAACTGAGAAAAATGCTTGCGACATGGAAGGAGCGCTGCAAAAAGTGCCGGTTCTTTTTGGTGCTGATGAGGTGATGTGAGCTATCAGGAGTGTATGCTTGTTTCTCGTGGGAATGTGTTTCTTTTTTTGTTGGAGAGCGGAGGCTGTGAATTGAGGTTAGATCTTGCGCATAAGTTTAAGTGCTCCGCCTCTGATTTTCGCGTCTGGGTTATCTTTTCGTCGTTACTGCTCACGCCCGCGCGCCCCCGATTCATGATGCCAAAAGTAATAAGACAGATCTTGCGTCGTGGTACTCTGAATGGCTTGGGCTTTTAGAGACACGGTAACACACTCAGCTCTGTGGCCTGGGTCGATATAGAGATTGAGGTCTCGAATTTGATTCTTCGCTCCCCCTTTTCGCCCAATTACGGCGTATCCCTTCTTTTATGTACTCTGGGTTTTGACAATTCATCGCTCATGGGGCATGCATATTGGGGTTTGCATGCTCGGGGGAAGTTTTTATCGTATCAAACTTCACATGAGGGAAGTCTTATGCTATAATATGTGCTCCACGCCGTACTTTAATATCGTAAGTTTCTTTACAGAAGATTGGTTGTTACCCTTAACTCTAAGTACATGGCCCTTTTGTGGGTGTATTTATCTGTTAGTTAGAGAAAGAAGATTTCCACTTTACTCCTTAGAATTGAGATTGTTCTTCACCAAGCACCTTTAGCATTTCCAATGATTTGCTCCGATCTTGAATAAATCAGGCCCCAAAATTGTTGTCCTTAATCGAAGGTTCCTTCTGAAACGCGTGATATGTTTAAACTTTAGGTGGTGGCTTGTGTTCCAAATGGCTTTGCCTTTGGTCTCATTTCCAGAGCACATATGGAAATAATTGAGAAAACAAAAGATAACAGAACTCATATAGTTTTCCTATAAAGATTCTTTTCTCCTGATTATCTAATGAAAACATCAAAGCAATTTCTTGTGAACTCTGCTCTCGTTCTTAACCATTTTGATATCCATTGTCGAAAGATGCATGATCCATCTATGCCCTGTGAACTAAAAAAATGACCCACTGCTTCATGTCTGAAGGGTTGTAAATAAGTCATCTTGAATCAATGGATTCATTGTAAGATCCTTCTATGATATAATGCATTTTTATTACAATTTTATCAAGCTTTCACATTACCTTAGCACTCGATAAGAACTTCTGTTTTTGTCTATATAGGAAAAGAAAGTTGCAGCCTGAGCTCTTGATTCTGCCTCTGCCAAAGCACCAATGCTGGGATCGAGGCACTATTCATTTCTCTACATTCAATAAGCACCTGGAAAAAGATGACATCTCTAAAGTCGCAATCAAGGGAAAGGTGGACGTAGGTGATAGCAACGATGGATCGAGACCTGAATCAGAAAAGGATAGTAACATCTTTGTGGAAAATTCCGATTCCACTATGTCATTGTATGGAATAGGTAACTGTGAAACTGAGTCCGCCTCAATATCCAACAGGCATTCAGCATCGTCCACGAGTTACCGGTGTGCGAATTCAGAGAATTCATCTTATTCATCGCATTGCATGATGATGCTGGATAAAGAGGATGGTAAAGATAATCTAGTGCTAGGTCTTCAAGACGTCATTCCTCTCAGTCGCGACAGTCAATTACGAGTACAAGAGATCCTGGAGGAGCATCTCCTTGAATTTGGAAACCATGCGGATCACATATGCTCGGAAGAGGGAAAGGACTGCATCGACCAATGCCCTGATGATGAAACCGAAGATATCATCTACTCCAATGGGGGGCCGCCTTCTAATAAATTTGTCCTTTCCTCTGGAAGATGGATCGTCAACCAAGGTATGGTTTCTTGTTGAGTGTTGCGTAAATGTAGAAACGGCCCTCCTCACTCCGCGCCTTTTCCAATTTCGTCCTTGATTCTGCTAATATCCAACTGGTGGCTTGGTATGTTCTCGATGTTTTGGTCGCTGACTTCTCTTTTGTTATTTCATTGCAGAAGCCCAACACGGCACGAGAAGACCGACAATAGACCAAGAGTTTGAGCAGTACTTCTCCACGCTCATGCTGTAGCAGGGCATTGCCTGAAATAGACGACAAAAGTAGATATTACTAATATCAGCTTCCTGGATAATCGCCCTGTACTCTGCCTTTGGTATGGAGGTTATAAATCAGTCTTGCCTTACTTTTCGGTTGTTGCATACTCTATAATAAATATAATCGCTAGCAAATCTTGAGTGAACATCTTTGATGATATATTTACCTAGTTTTTGGTTGGGATGTACGTGCATACTTGTGTGTTAGCTAGTAAATACAAGGTAGTCTACACGCTTCCCGCTCCCGAATGTCCCTCTTGATATCGCTTGTGTATTATTTTCACTTTCCTGGGTCAAAGATTGCGTCAGATCTCCTAAGAGTGCTTACGTGTATACATGATTCAATCGGATAGATGTTTTAGAGAAGTTTGATTAGGTATGTTGTCGAATCAGTATTTTAAGGAAGACTTGCCCTCTCCCTAACTCCTTTAAATTGAAAGTAGCTGTAAACCAGTAAACCGTGGTGACTTAATTACCAGATAAATGACGAGATCGCCATGTCACTTTTGCTTTTCTTCTCGCCCACGAATATAAGATGAGTTGACAGGTTATTTACCTATCAAAAGAGCTAAAGGGAGGGTTGAGATACAAGTTTATTCATGCCGTTTTGATCCGTCTAGCTTATGGGGTTTTCATCATTCGCATTAAATTGACTCTCCTTACCTAGTGTTTTGTTCTTTAGAAAGTGTAAACTCGGACGGAGCGTTTAAACAAGTGAAATCTTTGCGCAAAGTAGTTAGTTTGCAATATTTAAAAGGACTTTGCATTATCATATCAACGGACTCCCAGTTGTGTTTTCTAGTGTCCGTGTCTATAATTATTCTTCTTCTATTGCCTCTGTATCTCTTCTTGATTATCAGGACAATCTTCTCTTTTCGTTTCATCAAGCGGAATTACAGAAAAAAAGAAAGAAAAATCAAGTAGTGATCGAAGCCAATCACATAGGGAAAGAGCAATAGAAGCAATCGCCACTTGGCACTTACCAATATGTAACAAGCCACCAAATTTGTGTCAAATGACGAGTCTCTCTCGCGCGCAGGTCGCTGTTAACATGCTACGTTTGAGCAGTAAGTGAATGCAGAGTTGTACTATTGCTTGCAATGAACTTCGATTAGAAGCAAAATGATCATGAGATGGACAGAAATCTCGTCAAGACAAAACCACATTTGGTGGTTGAGGATTAAGATTGATCAAAGAGATTATTCACATAATCGACCGCTTTCAAGTTCGCTTTTGAGCTGTCATACTCTCTTTCTCAACCAACATTGAAGGAAAAGGCAGGGTCATATCAAGAATGACGCGAAAGAATTAAGTTAACAAACGATACATGATGACCAAAAAAGAAAGAAAGAAAGAACACTCGGCGAAGAAAATTTTCATTTTTGCAGTGGCTCATCATCCCGGGTCGCGGCCAAAGTCAGCATTTCGGAAGATCGGACGGCGGCGGCGGTAACTTCTGATTGGGCTGCGGTCCGTCGAGGACTACCCATGCCATCCTCAGACCCCAGCTTGTGTGCACGTCCAAATGACAGTGCATGAACCATACCCCTGTTTCAATTCAAACAAATATTATATGGTTTTTTTTTTATAATGATTTAGGGGCACAACCTATGTAAAACCCGGCGGGCCTCATGAACAAATAAAGTTTAGGCTCTGACTCAGAGCAGTTTATACATAATTGATGAGAATTGAACAAGGAACCTTCCATTCTGAACTTGGAAATCTCTTAATGCCCTAACTAACTGCGTGGTCCCTGAGACTTCATTAGTGACCAATATTTGAAAACCTACTAAAACTATTATTATTCTATTATTGAAATTATTTGAGAGGATTTAGTAATGACAAGTTGAAGCCGAGAGCAATTCAATTGGATATTTTTATTGCTCCATAATACTAAAATTCGATGGATAGTAAGATATATTCACTGTACTGCACACATGTAATAGTATTATGTACCTGGGTTGTCTGCTAGGAAACGAATGGCCGCCCATCCTCCCGCCGGAACACCGAACGTGTTCCTCTCGACCGGATCCACCAAATTGAATTTGGCCGGGTCTTTATTCGAGTCGTAGTTCCCGAACCCTTGCCCGACAATGAAGAAGTTGAACCCGTGCAGATGAAGTGAGTGGCTCTCCGCGCCGAGGATGGTCGTGTCCTGCAACACTACCTCTACACTCGTGTTGTATGCCAACTGCACCGTCTTCGTGGCGTTGGTCACCATGGTATTGTTCGGCGGCGTCCCCGTGTAGTTGAACTGCACGGGCGGGTTGGCAGGGAAATCCGTGGTGTACACGCCATTGGACTGGCCGGAGAAGTGAGCCTGCAGGAGAGCGATGGACGGCAATACAAATGACATGTTGTTGATCGATGCGGCGAATTTCGTGCCATTTGGTCCTTGACACGTCGTGTTTTTCGGGCACGGCATAGTCCCGAGGCCAACAGTGAAGTAGAATTTTCTGTCGACCTTTTGTGGAACGTTGGCGGGAAACTTAGCGTTGGCCAAGCTACGCAATTGTCGTGTGAAGTTGGTGACGAAAGCGGTGCTGTTCATGAGAGGGAGAGTTGGTTTATATGGGGGGAGCTTCTTGAGTGACGGGTAATTAGAGCTCGTCGGGCGTTGGTACTCAAGGATTCCGGCGACGGTGGAATTGTCGAAAGTGCCCAGGCCGGTGAAATAGGGCCACGCTTCCATGAGGAAGGTGGAGTTGGGAAAGTCGGGTTTGGTCTTGAGGAGGACGTTCATGGTTTGGCCCGGGGTTATGAGCAGGCTGTCCGTGGAAAAGGGCTTGACGTACACGGCGTCAGCCTCGACGACGGTGACGGTGTGGTTGGCTATGCTGAAGAAGAGCTCGTCGTTGAGTGCAGCGTTGATCAGCCGGAGGAGGTATGTCTTCCCAGGTTTCACCTTCAACTTGAACGTATCTGTTGGACAGGTTTCAAAGCAGAGTAAGGTCTAGTGCTCGCCTAGCGAAAGAATATTGTTTATGAAATATGATAGGATTAATTTACCCAATTTAATGCAGCAATTAGAGAAAACCTTTGATTTTTTTTTTGGTTGGGTCGGCAACGGTGAATCATATTACTTAGGTGATTTGTATAATTATTAAAGTGAATCTAGATCACACTTTCTAACATAACATCAGGAAGCAAAAGATGCCGCAACGTCAAAGCCATATTTCCGGTGATAACAATGTTGATTCAAGTAAACATTTTAGGTTGTAATATGATTATTAGCACAGTAAAATCTAATTAAACACAACATAGAAACCACTTTGTGGATATAAGATTTGTGTTTTTTCGGATATGTTGTCAAGTATAAGTTAAATTTCAGAATAAATATGAGGGTAGTAGGATTAAAGTAATCCTAGCTTTTGGACCTTACACAGAAATTGTTGTACATGAGTTATGACAACTTACAACAGAGATTATACCGAATGATGGACTCATTACATAAATCGGTGCGGTAGACCAAACCAAGTAGGCACGAAGAAGGATTAGCGTAGATGAAAAATTATTAGTTGAACAGGGTTCGTTCATCCGAACTGTTGAGTCTGATGGGTCTCACAGTTAAAGCAAAGGGACCTCGTCGGATTGAATAGTTCGGATGTATTGAGGCGCATGCATATGATGCGGCCAAAAAGCTCTCGTTCATTTGATCCGTCAGTTTCGAGCATGCGACGATCTAACGGGTCAAAGTCTCGGGAATGATACCATATGTTATCAAACAGTTCTTGGCCACAAAGGCTTGACTAACGCATATGCATTGGGTGGTACCTTTAGAGGAGCAATTGTACAAGGGTCCTGGAAGGCCATTGATGGTGTAGGCATCGGAGACATTGGGGCCTCCTCCGGTCTGAAGAGCTTCGGCGATGACCGCTTCTGGGTCAGCATTAAACCACTCTCCTATATATAATAACAAGAGATATAAGCTTGATCAAATGAACCATATAGTGTACGTATCTGGTGCAAGATTCATTGCACATGTTTCAGTCATCTTTACACAGTTTGCGGAAACAGTTTTCTCCATTGACGACGGACAGAATGAAAAGTCTTTCATGTACAACGTCCGAATGGCTCACCGAACATTATAGGGACTTCCTTGTAGGGTTTCTCGAACGGGTAGGACTCGTTCCGCCTGGGGAGGATGATGATGGGGCCGTAGATGCTTGATCTTAGCCACGAGATGTGCGCGTGCCACAGCAGTGTTCCTCTCTGGCCAGTGAGGGTGAAGTTGTAGGTGAAGCTCTGGTTGGTCTGTATGGGACACTGGGTTACGTAAGCCGGTCCGTCCGCCCATCCCGTCCCTAGTTGCCGAACCCCGTGCCTGCCGTCACCATGATCAACACACACCCGACTTCTTTTAGTAATTGTTTAAATTGCACTTCCTATAGAATGACAGTAGCACATTAATTGTTTTTGTGCATTAATCTTGTATACAAGCACATTCTGACTACGACATGTCGTAGGTTCCACTTTAATTCTCTGTTGAACTATTGGTTTCGTACAGTTTGCTTGTTTTCAGGAACTCTTTAATAGAGTAAAAATATAAGACAATTGCACACGGAGTTCCCGAAAGTGACAGAAGATGCATTGTTTTCAACAACATTCCAATGTTTTTTGAGAGCGTAAATTGATGAATTTAGTTGCACTCCACTTCCTCATACCAGTGAATCGTGACGTTGTTGGCGACATGGTTCTTCACCTTGATGAGGACCCGGTCGCCTTCCCTCGCCACGAGCGGCGGCCCCGGAACCTGCTTGTTCACGCTCAACACACTTCTCGTGTGGCACAGCCTCGTCATGTTGTGGGAGTCGATCTACAAATCCATCATCATTCGAGAAGTTCGGTGTAAGGACCACCTCGACCATGAATCCGAAGAATAACCTCAACCCACAAATTATAGAACTACAAAGTGACTAACAAATGTACGTACATTGAAGGTGTAGTGCCTCGTTTTGCCATCTGCCAACTTTAGAAACCCTAGTAACAAGGTACAAAAGATGAAGAGCTGGTTCTGGAAGCCCATCTCTCCAATTTGGTGAGATTATAGCTGTAAGAAGTAACAAGGATAAGCTGGCCAAACGCAAGTGACGAGGTACGTGGACCACCAAGTTGCCAGGCATTTGAAGAACGAGGGTCGATTATATAGTGGGGGAAGGATGATTAGGTGGGATATGACAAGAAAAATAGTGATGGGTTTTCACATGGGTAGTCTGATCTGTCCAACGGCGTTCACCCTTCTCTGATCCGCAATTGCTGTTGGTCGTGCTGAATTTTAGAGTGTTGCCAAAGTAAGAATTTTCCTTTCACTGTTCGATTGCTACATGGACCGTTCCATGTCTACTCATTCTAGAGAACGTTCGAGTGAAATGCATGAATAACCCACCTCATAGTTTATAGGGGCTGGAATATGCCTAGGGCGCGATCGTCTTCGAGGCGGCGTTGGGGTCCTCCGCTTGGTTTCACTGCCACCGTCATCACCACCGTCTGGCTCTGCCATTGCGCACCGGCATCTCGAACTCCACCATTACCACAATCGAGGTTGTTGAAATCGAGATTGTACATGGGATAGCTCGGAGTGGTAGTTAAGAATCTAGAAACTTTCAAAACAATATGAAAATAAGATATATGTGCGGAATTGACATTCTAAATGCTATGATTTTTATGAGACTTAGGCTTCAATGAATTGGCGATGTGGAGCAATATGATCTCCACAAATACTACTACAAGGCGAAGTCCTTTTCTTTATGCCAAAGTCTCAACACTATCTATATCAAATTCTTATACATATTGCATGATCCTAGATAAGAGCTCTCCACAAAACATTAACTAATTAAGATGGATAGGATAGTGACACTAGAGGTGTCAAAGTTTCGTATGGCGCTCACTTTGGCGTCAAAAGTTTTTTTTTCAGATGACTTAAGTGCCAATTTCAACTTGGGTGCCGGAAATCCTACGTGACCATATTTTATTAATTTCTCCGATGACACAGCTCACCGGCATGCTTAGTCAGCATATATACCCCTAAACGACGTCGTTTATGTGTTTTGCCCGAAACCCGAATAATTTTCCCAAATTCGATACCCTAATTTGATATTCCCCCAAAACCACAATCTTTCCCTCCAAAACGGCAGGAATCCCCAAGCACTAAAATCTTAGTGGGGACTTCAATCGATCGGATTAATCACCAGCACACTAAAAAATCACGACTTGATTGCTCCCCAACCGGAAGACCCTCCTCCATGTCGACTTCGGACAATGAAGATGAAAGCCTGGCCAATTTCCTCGAGTCCAAGATCATATCCGAGGTAAAAATCCAACCTTCGTTCATTTTAACTTGCCTCGATTTTCGACTTTTTTTCCTCAACTTCAATTTTTAAAGTAATTTGATTTGATCTCCATTCTTTTCCCTAGGAAAGCGTCGATGCCGCTGAGCTGGAAAGCGAAACGGAAGCGTTTGGGAGAGGAAGAAGTGCAGGAGGAGAGACAAGGCGATGGAAGAAGCAATGGCAAAAACGCGAAGTGTTGATAATCTGATGAGGTGCCCGACGGTGGAGAGGAGCAAGAGAGGGAGGAAATTGGAGTGAGAGAGAGAGAGAGAGAGAGAATGAGAGTGAAAGATATTAAATTGCCTTAGTACGGTGGCGTTTTGTGATTAAAGGCCACCTCGTCGTTCAGGTGAACTTTCTTTTTTTAATGAAAAGCCACCTAGACATTAACATTTAATTAATTTTTGGCCAGAATTTGTCGCCAAAGGTATTTAAGTGATCATTTATTTTCCGATTTGGTACTTAAATGAGCTGTCGAAAACTTTTGGCATTAAAGTGAGTGCCGTACTAAACTTTTGGCACTTTTAGTGTCCTTATGTCCTAGATAGTGTTAGAATATTTAAATAATAAATCACACCATTATCTAATATCTTAAGTTTTTAAAATAGTTGGCAGTGGTTTAACAAAATCTCACATGATGTTAGAGTAGGAGGTCCTGAATTCAAATCTTTCCAAATCCATGTCAACGCTCAGTACTAGGCAAAAGGATCAGACTATCATTGGGAAGGCAAATAGGGGCTTGAAATGATTTGAACTCAGGATCTCCTGTTCTGATACCATGTGAGATTTTGTGAGACCACTGTCACGTTTTAGGCTTAGGCCAAAGTCCAGCGTGCGCGGATGGGAAATGTTAGAATATTTAAATAATAAATCACGTTTTTATCTAATAACTTAAACTTTTAGAATAGTTGATAGTAGTCTGAAAAAATCTCATAGATGGACCCTATGTAAAATTTATTTTCAGGATTCACATCTAAAATTTTAACAATCATGATGACAACCCATATTGCCGTGTCGCCGTCGCCACCGTTCTACCAGTAGCGGCGGCGGCGACAATGGACCGAATGAAGAATAAAAATAATGATACTTACAACATTTTAACGCCTTTATTAAAATCTTTTTAACGCAATTCATTTATGAGATTGGAAGGCCTTAGTTTTTCTTGATTTTGAAAAACCCCATTTTCTAGATCCCCTTTTCTCTCTCTCTCTCTCTCTCTCTCTCTCTCTCTCTCTCTCTCTCTCTCTCTCTCTCTCTCTCTCTCTGGTTGAACCATTAAGCAAACAAAAGCCAACTGGTCAGTGGCCAGTACTTTGTAACAGCATGGTGAATCCTCCCAAAACTCACCATAAAAAAACGAGATGTAGTAGTTGAGGAACTGACCTCCTTTCCCACGGTATATTTCCGTTCATTCTACTTAACTTGGGCTCAAATTCATGGCGGTTATCTTGGAGACTAAGTAATGGTGCATGAGACTCTAAACCGTATGACTGGCTCTTTGCTGATAACGTCGTAATGCTAGATTATGACCCCCTACATGTTCTCTTTCAATGAACAGTTCTAACACCCCCCCTCCAACAATTTCACCGACCAAGTAATGTTGGGTACGAAGATTCGCTATTCCTTTTCCTTAGACATCCCGCGTTTATCACCGTTGATATGAGTAGCCAAGTACTAGTTGAAGATAAAGCTCCCATCTCAACGTTATTACATATGAACATGTGTAGAACGAATGTTGTTCAAACTATCTACCCAGTATTTATTGTGGTTATAAACATAAATGGACTCTTTAGAGGATGACCATTTGCTTGGATACGTAAAAAAGTACTTGAGATTAGAGGGCTGACCAAAGTTAACCAAACTAAGCCTAGTTAACATTTCAAGTTCTTTTACTTCGACACTGAATAATTAAAATAGAAGAGTGGTCTGATACTATGCATGAAAGTTTGAATCCAATGTCCGTTGGTGAGACGATGTTCGCCATGTTAAATTTAAGATATGCAAGTTGCTGAATGCGTGCTAGTTCTGTGGACTTGAGAATGAGATATCAACTTACATGCGCGCCTGCATTCGGCAAATCGAGACCTTGTGCTTTTATGTGATAATTTTGCTGGTCTTATATATGCATCATTGGCCTTATTTTGGCCAATGATGCATATATAAGACCAGCAAAATCAGATATGCAGCTGCTAGTATGCTTAGGTGACAATTTTATTAGTCGTAGTTTCAGGTGACAATTTTACTGGTCATAGTTTCATTCATCGAGCTGAGGAGGCAACAAATATGGAAACTATGGCGATGACAATTCTGTAGTTGATATCTGAGGCTTTGACGGATCGTGTTGGATTATGTGTTGAATGGTGAACAGAGACACATGTCGTACATTTTTTGGTTCGAGTTGGTGAAGTTGCCTTTCGCCAACTCGTTGGGAGACAAGGATGCTTCATCCTCTCTTCACTGCCACTTCCGAAAACGACCCGTCATATCCTTAACGTTGAGAGAGTCTTCTTGTATACACTCGGTGCATGTGAAACCATTTCATCAAAACCATCATAGTATGTGCATCCCATATGATGCCCTCAATAGTTACCGGCGGGGATAAAATTGGTTCCCATGCTTCGGGACTTAATAAAATGAGAAGAATGGTGGAACGATCGAATTGGTTGAGTTGGATATTACATCCATGGCCTTATTTATAGACCTCAAGCAAAATGAAAGAAAATTCAGTATAATATTCGATATGATGACTCTAGACACATATCCGACTGGGCACAAGATGTACATAATTGCCAAATATCGAGAAGATTACAAAAAAAAGTTCTCAACTTAATGTACTTGTACCAATTCAATCCTAAACCTTTCAATTTGGTCAATTCAATCACAAACTTTTGACGATTTACCAGTCTAAACTTTAGATGATTTGCCAATTTAATTCTTCCGGCTAATTTTGGTTGGAAATCGCTGATGTGACAGTCTAGTCAGCATCGGCCGTCCTACGTGGCACGGCTAGAGCTAACGTGAATAATTTTTAAAAAAATTTCTGAATTTTTTTACTATTTTTCTTTTTTTCTTCCCTTTTCTTTTTCTAACCCTAGGTCGGCAAGGTTGCCGACCCCAGCGACCCTCGCTTGGTCTGGGCAAAGGGTTGCGACCATTCCCTATTGACCGATGAGGGCCTTAGTGGCTTGTGGCTGGCAAGGGCTGTGACACCCTCGCCTTGACTAGGCGAGGGCGACCATCGCCCAGATCTAACGAGGGTCGACCTTGCTTGGGGTCGGCAAGGGCGTGGAGGCCCTCGCCTACACAAGGTTGTGAAAAAAAAAAAGAAGAAAAAAAAGTTTAATTTTTTAAAAATTACAAAAATTGTCCGCGTCAACACCAACCGTGCCACGTAGGACGGCTGACGCTGATTATATCGCCATGTTAGCGAATTCCGGCCAAAATTGGCCTAACTGATTAAATTGGCAAATCGTCAAAAAGTTTAGGACTAAATTAGCACAATTAAAAATTTATGCCTTAATTGGCAAATTGTCATAAGTTTGGGACTAAATTGGCCAAATTAAAAGGTCTAGGACTGACCTGACACAAGTGCAATAAGTTTAAGATTTTTTTGGTAATTTCTTCGCTAAATATCTAAATGATTTGCAGAATATATAATGTATCATATGTCCATAATATCTACAAGACATCTTTGACACGCCCCTCAAATTAAAGTTGATATTGTAGATTAACTTTAGTTTGGAAATGATATTGAAGAATCATCCAAATTTGCATCACTTTCAATAGTGCCTTCAA